TACGAAAAAATCGGGTGAGACGGGTGGTCTGGGACACCCTGTATATGCAACATCAGATAGGAATCATTATATTTGTATTGAACAAACTAATGCATAGCACATGTTGTTGTGTATTGCATAGTCCTTCTTAATATATGACGTATTTTAATTGTATTTTTCTCGTTGTCAACAAACATGCTACATCCCGATATTCACTACCATAGTGCTGGAAATCTATAGTTCACGAATATCTCTAGTTACGAATACTATAAATTTCCAGAACTAGCAATGAATATCGGAATGCAGCTAAATTATCAACAATTGAAATTGTTGTAAGTTTACAATAACTTTTCGACAAGATTTCGACAAAAAAATTATCGCGAAATAAAAGACGTAACGATATACAAAGACGCGGAAATATTTTCTACTTAGTACTACGACATACTCTAAATTTCTCGGAGCAAAATTTTCACTAGACAAATGGAATAACAACCGAATCACATAAAACTACTTTTTAGTAAAAAATCATATCTTATAAACCTGAAATTAGCTTGCAAGAGAGAGAAAAAAATCTGTCACTATTTACTTCCCTTTCCGTTACATAAAATACATTAAATTTAGTATTACACGTCAACCGCTAATATACAGGAGTCGAAAATTGGCCACACGACATGGCCAAAAAAGGTAAAACTACCCGTGAAACTTTACACACCGACAAAACTTGTAGAACTCGCAAAATAATTCTGTTATTAATTGTATATCGTTGTACTTGTTATAAACATCGCTACAATTTTCATTACATCGAAATATTCATATTACCATAAAAAATTATGTATATCTGTGTTTTCTCTAAAATAATTCTTATGGACCACCACCATGTTCGCATTGGAATTTAGTTAAAACCATTTAATTTAGTGTATATTTATTATGATCTATTTTTTTTTAGTTTAGAAGACAAAAGATAAAAGGCCATTTATAGCAGAACCCTGTATATACAGAATGTTAATAAGCTCGTGTCTACAATTTATATAGCGTTATTCTTTATTAATTAAAATAAATTAGAAATCAAATTGAAAAATCCTGAATTAAATTTTTCTATGATTTTTAATGAAGAAAATATTAAATAAAATTCAACCATTCCAATTACACAATATTTGTCTATAAACAATATAATAATATAATTTGCAGACAAATATTCATTTAAAATTCCCTGATTTTTCCAAACATAAACAAATGCCCTGAGAATTCCAGATTTTTCCAGGTAATAGACCCCTGGTAATATTAAATGTAGTCTTCTTGTTCGTGAAATGCAAATCATTGACGAAGTTAAATATCTTGCTGGAACTAACCTGCTGCTGAAAGTGTTGAACTAAGTGAAGTAACACTAGTTTCGTGAGCAACTTCCTGACAGAAATAGCACATGCTCGCTATGTTAGAATAAAACGCTGATTTTGTAAATAAAACTCAGTAATTTTTATAGGTTGCTTCGTTGTAAATTTTTCCGTAATAAATTTCTAAGGAACAATTTTTGAAAAACTGGAATAAAAATGTTAAAATATATAGGATGTTCCGTAAGGAAATCGATAATCTTCTAGAATATGTTCTAAGTCATTTTAACTAAAAAAGTTAAAATATTTCGGTCAAATATTTAAGTCAACTTAGTTCAGTTATCGAGATATGAGAAATTTAATTCTTGTCAGTAACGCACATTTTTTGATGACTATGGCCCCATTTCGTTCTAGACTTCTTTATTATTATTATTATTCGAAGTCTCAGTGATGATAAACCAGAGATCTACCAATAGCATTAGGCAGAATAATAGAAGCCACACATAATATTTGCACTGAACTTAAGCAAATTAATTGGCAGCAATCTATGACTTACAACGAGCAGCAGCATGATTTGCAAGCATAATGTGGACATTTTGAAATAACATGATTAGAAGAATAATATTCATCTAATAAAAGTTATAAATATCTGGTATTTTTCGTCTGTTACAATATTAATAAAACTGTTTTTATCTTGATAAATGAGCCTTTAATACATCTGAACTTTTCTGCTCAGATTGACTTTTGAAGCGCATTCTAGAAGTTTGTCGGTTTTCTCGCGGAAACTGTATAATAGAAAGAGATATTACATTTTTAAATAGTAAAGCGACTTATGAGTCACCCTGTAATTCAAATGATAGTTTAATCGTTAATTAATACTTAGAAATAAGATATTCAGAATGTTAAATGATACTTCTTAATCAAGGGAATTATATGTATAAAAATTTTATTTACTCACAATGCTACTTCATGGCGAGAGTCTGCTTAAGATGGCGCATGAGGTGACTACCAACGTCATGTACCTCAGGCCACTGCTTGAGCACAAATACTATGCCCAACACAACAAACGTGGTTGTTAATATGCGCACCCTGCACATGAAACAATGAGGCTTAGTACAGCTGTAACAGACATGTGAAAACAAAATAGAATAATGACTATGCGAAATTAAATATTGAATAGATGATCATGAAAGATAGTATGAAGATGAGTCAAACGAAAGAATAAAAAAGGATCAAGAGAAACGATAGTTAATATCATATGATTATACTTGCGCAAAATAATGTTTGAATGAATTTGTAATATCATATACGAACTGATTATTTTGACGTATATTTAAATCAGGGATCTGGACTGGATAACAATATCGGTCCAATTTCGGTCCATTTAACGTACCAAATATTTAACAAAGGTATTGCATAAATTGCGGTATTTTTAGTTTAAGCTTTTTTATTTTTTCCATAGAAATTTTTATTAAATTAAATTTTATATAACACACACACACACACATGCGCGCGCGCACGCACGCGCATAAATGTATATATAGATATATACTTGAACTTTTACTCATACTGAATCTAAATTTTTAATATATATGTTTTTAAATAATAGATTATATTAAAAATGTATAATAAAATAATGAATAATGATAATGATCATTTTATCAGTGCAAATAGCATTTCTTTGTTTTCATCTTTTGCTCTTAATTTTCTTGATATAATATTATTTATACAATATTATTATTAAAGTTATTTGTAACTTCTGCTGGTAATCTTCGTAATTTCGAGATTATTTAAACGAAAAAATTAGTGTCCGGTTATAAATAAAGTGAAAATAATATAAAATGAAAGCGCGTGTGAGAGAGAAAGAGGGAGTAAGGGCAGGGAGAAAAGGAGGAGGAGGGAGAAAGAAAGAAAGAAAGAAAGAAAGAAAGAAAGAGAGAGAGAGAGAGAGAGAGAGAGAGAGAGAGAGAGAGAGAGAGAGAGAGANGTGCTGTAAAGAGATCCTGAAGTCATTCTGTTTTATTGTAAATTTATTAGTGCTATATTTCTTATTGGCTGCACAGAATAAAAAATTTTTTGCGCAATTATAATACATACATTAATGCAAGCGAGTATGGTTGACTTTATATGAAGAACGAAAAAAGCTAACAAATTATAAAACTTTTCATCATTCTTCGAATAAAGTCCACCGTCCTCGCCTACATCAACATGTGTATTGTAATTCTATAAAAGAATTTTTAATTACGCGCAGCCAATAATAAATTTCTGATAAAACAGGACAATCTTAGGATTTTCTTAAGTGTGTATATGTGCGCGCGCGTACGTATGTGTGTAATAGATAAAACTACAATATACTTATTTTTTTTTTTTTTTTTATAGAACATTCTATTAACTCTAATAAGCAGCTGATCTCTTAAAATATTTTCTTTAATATTCATTCTTAAAAGAAATAAAATAAATTTCAGTCTAGAAAACAAGCGTTCAATACTGACTTGGGTGGCACGAATAGATAGAACAAACATTGCTAATTTATACAATTAAAATTGATTGTTTTTCTGTTTATCCCAAAAAACTCGAATATATTACTAACTGTATAATATATATTACTTTTTCTATTAAGTCTCTTTTGTTCAACATCGTACGTTTCATTTTCTACTTGTAGTAAAAAACAGAAATCTGATTCTCTAGATGATAGACGTGAATTTAGTAAAGATACTGTCGTTCCTTTAGTTTTAAAATGTTTTCAAATTCATCATGCGTAAAGTTTGTTTCACTTGAAGAACTTCCCACGCCATCTGTATTTAGATTTTCATTATGATTTATGATCATCATTTTAATCTATATATGTTTTAAATGATTTTTGGCTATTTCAGTTTGGCTTTTCCTTCTAATAATATTTTATATCTGGGACCCATGAAAACGACAAATAATACGTCATTATTTAATTTTTCGCTAGAACTAAAAGTTTATTACGAAATGAAAGAAAAACTATTATAAATTATAGAATAAGAATCGAAATAAGGAACCAAAAAAGAATCGTATATTGAAATTAAAATAACATTGAATGATACCGGTTTCAGTTCCGATCTTATAGGCTTCATAAAATTTCAATGCGGTTTACGATTCCGACAAAAATATTAATTACGGCACGATTTCGGTCCCTGATTTAAATATTCGATCAGTGGATATTTCATCATTGCTGGAACAAAAATTAACGGAGAATTATCTTAATAATAGCAATCCTACCTAGTTCTGAGAAAAGGCATCATGATACCAGCACCTGTCGCAACGAGGAGCAAAATAACTTGCAATACTGTTAATACTACATTTATCAATTTTACAACCAGCGCTCTCGCATTACTGTTATCCAAGCCTTCTAAGGTTACGTATTGTTGGTGCTGTTGCTGCTGATGTTCCATTTTACAGATTTTGGTTTGACAGCTCTCCAGCATCTCGTGTATGTCTCGCAGTCTATCCTCACTTTGATATTGCACTTTCTCTTCCATATCTGTAATAGTTTGCTTCAAATTCTCAACCTCGTTTTGGTGGAGTTCCGTCAAGTCATTGATTTGTTCTTCTAAACGTTCACATCGAAAGCGTTCCTCTTGGAGAGAATGGGAAAGATATGTCACTTCCTGTTGTAATGTCTAGACAAGGAAAAAATCGATTATATCATCATGAATTTCATTTTAAATTCATCATGAAATATATTTCTTTTGTTTATATAATTTTAAAACACTATTCCAGATGGTGTCAAACTGAATGCGAACCTTTACAGTATCTAATTTTTCTCTCATTCGATCGAGATTTTCTCGGTGTTCCTGTAGTTCTGAGAAGATAGATTTGAGACTCAAAGCAGCGTTATTACTGTGACATGTGTGCGGCTGTCCTCTACTGCCGGGTCCACTTTCGCTGGTCACACTAGAACACTCTGATCCTTCCTCAGACGGAAACTTCATAGCAGCTGCGCTATGGGTAGATCCTAAGCTGCATCCACCAGGAAGCGTAGCCGATCCATGATGAGTTTTATCATCTTCAACGCTAGTGTTATCACCATTACCTGCACGCGGTGTATCGTTTACATAAAAAGTCGAGCCATCTGTAGAGACACAGAGGTCGCAAGTTAGAATGTTATCCAATACCAAAGCGTGGCCTTCCGAAATAAATAAATTTACATATTATTTCACAAGTTATTATGTTATCCAGTCTCCTAAACAACAGTTATATCACCGTTTACTTCAGATGACGGTTAAAAAGCAGTTGTCTTGCTAAAATGTTCTTTTCAAAATTAATAATAATAATTGCACAAAACAATTAGCTGTTTCATAGTATTTTTTAAATAAGTATTGGATAACTAACAATAAATAAAGATAAATATATAACCATAAAAACTACTATAAATTAAATAATAACATAATATTAAATAAGTATTTATAATATAAAACATAAACACAAACACATAAAATTATATCAGAATTATTTTGCAATTAAATGATATAAAAGGAATGAGAAATTTAATAAACAAAAATTATAAATAAACTGGATTGCGTGTGCAAAATAATTTTTAATAATACGTTTCAAATTAACAACATCATTATTATTCAACCATTTATTTGAGGGAATAAGAAGCTCGAAGCAGCCGACAAAAGAATAGAGTGCACGAAGCATATGATAAAGTGTAACAGAAGTGTCTCTCTTTGGACAATACATTACTTACTACTCTCAACTGCCATGATAGCAAAAATATAAAAAAATATTTCTACATGTTTAAATGTTTATTTAAATATATTTTATATTGAAAATCATAAAAATAGATTGCGTTAATCATATTATATAAGAATTGTATAGAATTTTACGTTCTATCATTAAATAAATGTACATAATGTATATGTATAATCGTTTTAAATTATATATGATTCAATTTTTTAAGCAAACACTATAACATTTGAATGAATGCAACTTGTAATAGTGATAGATTTCGCTATATTATAGTGATATAATTATGATAACATAAAACTCGTTAAAAATTTATTATTTATTATTTGTAAAATTTATTATTTATATATACTTACGCGACAAAGTATTTATATTATCAGCACTTCCAAATTTGTTTTTAATAAGATGGGCAAATTCTCTTGGCTTGGACATCACACTTCTATAATAATAATAGTTAAGTTCTATTATAATAATAATAGTTAAAATATATAAAGCCTGTATATGTAATTGCTCCTTATACATAAAAATATTTTTAAAATTAAGTATTTCTTGAATTTTCAAAATGATCTGGATAATCTCAAGTTGAAGCGATAATAACGGTAATGTAATTTAAACATTTGCGTCTCACAAAGGTTTCGCAATGAATCAACCACATAAGAATAGGATTTTCAGTGCGTTTGTGTCCGAAGGATCTATTTTTATATGAAGACTCACCCTGAAAAACCGGTGATTCCATCCCTAATGTTTCCTCCCACGTTTCTGAAACGTAAGTCCAAATTAATCAATGATATTATTTTCAATGTGTGTCTGCTAATATGCAATAAAAACTTATAAAAATTGTTTTTTAGATACGAAACATTGAAATACTTGAAATACTCACTTGAGTCCTTGTCCCATATCCCGTAACATTTCCCTCGGTTGCCTATGACTAGTAGGTGCTCCATTCATTTCATAATTTTTCAACTTTTTCGTGTAACTATCTAACTTTTTTTGTAACTGTGCGATACTGTGAGCTGATTTTTGATTCTTCTTCTCAAATACTGTCTTAATTCTAGTTAATTGCTGTTTATCCGCATTAGCAGCCAACTTCAAATATTCATTGACATTTTCTAAACCAAACAAGATACGTAATAATATGTATGAATATAATAGCGTTCTGACACAATAATACAACTCATATAAACGATATAAACGAAAAATGCGATTAATACGATTGTACAATAACGAGGCGTGCTCTCTTCTCCATTCGTTCGTATTTACGTTAGTTAAATTGAGAATGTTTACGTACCATCCCGCGTGGTTTGTTCTATTCTTATTAGCTCCCGCGTCTTAGCAATTTTACTCTGAATATGTTCAATAGCTTGACGAACACGCACTGCGCTAGAGTCAATATCATCAGCAATCAATTCAGAGGAGCCATTCGATAGGAACGACGGGGTTGTGTGATATTGTTCCTATTAGTAAATTAAATACATTAACATATCGAGGTGTTCCAAGGTTTTCTCGAGATTTCAACATAAAGTGGATACAATGGCATTATGCAGATAGCCACTTTACATTTTAACTTACGACTTAATTGCATATTATATATTTGTAATTGATGATAATGCATTCTCTCTATTATGTATTAGTTAATACATAATGCAATGACATTATGTAACTGTCTTTATGTAAGAATGCGAAGTCACGTTCAATGCATACATTAAGCGTACAAAGTAGCAATTTTCCTGGCTACTTTGGATGTAAACTAATATTATCTTATACTTTATATCAGCATCGAGAGTGACACATATTTAATTTATTATTCTTGAATCTAAAAAACAACTTGACAAACATACTCCTTCATCATCAGTTGGTGGATGAATATGTGGCACAAACTCATCTGGTTCGGCAGTATTTAGATTATTACTTGGTTCGTCCATGGCATCTCCCATGCGTATTAAAGTTCCTGGTGATCTTTGTCTACTACTGCCCTTCATACTGAGACTACTTCCAACACCGCCACCACCGCTACTTCCACTGCCTGTGCTACCTTCTCCTGCTTGAGAACTAAATGTATATGTTCAGCAAATTTTATTTTTGTTTGTTAATTATAATTTCCTTAACTTACAGATCATTTTAATATGTATTATAAAATCTTACATTGAAACATTACGTAATCTTGAAGTATGATCCAAGTTTCCTGTTGATTGTTGCTGGTGTAGCTGAGACGTCGAAGTTGTTCTACTAGGAGATCCACTGCGCGAGCTGTTCTTACTAGAGGCGTTCACCATCAAGCTTGCCATACCTTCCTCCTGAGAAGGTTGTCATCTGTCTACTTTGTTTGATGACAATTTCACATTGAACCTACACATCATAAATTATGATGTATTATGAGATTATTGTAGAGTACAAAGAGATATTACAGTTTTATGATCGTTATTATCGTAAGTATCTTCATGGGTAATCTCTTTATCTTTGAATGCGCATACATTCAACGAATATATATATGTATGATTAAAAGAGATTACGTAATGTTTCAATGTAAGATCTTTCTTTTAAATAAACTAAACTAAAAAATAATATTCTAGTGATTAATACTAGGAATTAAAAGATTGACAATTCATTCTACAAGCAAGAGACAATTTCTTGTGTAACGATATTAGATAAAAGTCAACAGTATCAATTCAATATCTTTATGATAAACTTTATCATATTATAGCTTATTTTCATTCATGAACATTTCCCGAGAATGAAGCACAGATGTAAGAAAAGTAGTCTCAATTTTACACATCTATTTTAACATTCTCTTCACATATAATGCATCATAACATATAGGCCAATTTTATACTGCAAATATTCTGTGGTATTTTTGTTATTAAAAATAAATAAAATAAAGCATAATAAATCATAGAATACTGTACTATGCTTGATCCCTGTATATCTTGAGTAGTAATTTTCTCTTTAACAGGTTATCTAATTTATATTTTAAATATATTGAGCCTAGGTTGGGACTGGATCTAAATATACAGTTTAGAATATGTCACATAAAGAGAAATATAGATACATTTAAATCACAGTGAGACTATTTTTTGTTTAATATATGTAAAAAATCAACTTGTACGAAGATATTAGTGCATGCTTCTATTAATGTTCAGTCTATGATATCCATATAAAATTTCCAAAAAAGTCTTCAAATTATATTAAGTCAGATTAAGAATTCAATTACATAAGACATTTTAATATCGATGATGTTCAATTAATAACCTATTTAATATATATATCAGTTTATAACGTCTTTCGACATTGTCCGGTCCCCAAACGTAAACTTAATATAATTCCCAAATCATAAAATATTTGATTAATATCAAGCCCTTTTCATATAAAATTCGCTTCTTTAATTGTCCATAGTAGTGGAAAGAAACGTGCACAAGTCTTTTTTCTCAATTCTACGTCGTATCACTACCTTCAACCCAATCTCTTAACTGATGAATCATTGCTATTATCATAACTGTGGCTACACCAACACTGATCTGTAGCTGAGAATACGTAATAAATGACATGACATAATACTGACTACTATAGTCCAAATGACCAACAAGTCTTTCCAACACTCAATATTCATCTCGTTCGTGCCGTCACCATCGAAAATATTAGAATAGCCGTGGGAAATATGAGAGAGATTGATGGTCGAAGAAAAAAATATCAATCACTGCATTCACGACGACAGCGCACACGACAAAGATAACATCTCAAGCAGGAACAAGCGGCTGAATTTCACAACGCTCATTAGAATTATCACTCGAGTGACAAGAAACCTGTTTTTATTCGTACACCGAGCGACGTAACAGAACGAAGTCGAACTTGCCTAATCACACGGTTAGCAAAAAGTATCGGTGAGGATCTCGAACGAGTGCGTAGCTGGGCAAATTCATGAAAACACTACCTCACGCACGATGTAACACAATTACGAGTGTGTAAAACGGACCTGTAACACCATCGTCGCAACCTTCGATTGTGGAATGCGTTCGATACGTTACTTTTTCATAGCAAAAACCCGAGAGAACAAGTCTCTGGACTTCGTTCCTGCAGGGACGAGAGCGTGATTTCGCTTGCGATCGGCCTGTTGGATGAATACGAAGTAACGTACAGTAGGCAGTATCGATGGAAAACACACAGGTCCGTATTAACACTTTGAAGCCTAGGCCTTAAAGATGATGTTATTAATGGGATCCTGAGCAATTTTGATGTCTAAAAAATTTTCATTGTTGATGTATGTTGTTGTAACTTAGCAACCAATATATCAATTTTAAATATGAAAAAAGCACTTTAAAAGCAACAGAAACGTATGGAATGGCAGTTGTCATCTACGCGCTACTCCGACCTATACTCGGGTTTAGGACAAAGAGTGTTAATAACGTCCGCATTCGGATTGGTCAGTGACAACGACTAACGTGTTCACGCTTCAAACTCTTTTTCCTTGCGCCTCGTAAACAAATTACAGTAGAAAGTAATACAGATTAAACTTGATCGATCGATCGATCGATCTCTCTCTCTCTCTCTCTCTCTCTCTCTCTCTCTTTCTCTCTCTCTCTTATTCTTCGAAAGTAGACAAGAAATTGATCAATAGTTAGCATTCGATTAATTCCCTAAAGTTTATTCTGTTACGTTGTTCATGTACGATTACGATCGGGAAAAGGGAACTAATTGGAATCACATATAAGTCGCGATTTTTTACTATCCATTTCTTGGAGAAAGAAATCAAAGCAACTCAATGTATGAAGCGCCGATATGTCAAACATTAACTCTGCAGTTAAAAAGATCCTAGAGTCGTTGTTTTACCGCAATTTGTCAATATTATATATTTGTTGCTGACTATACAGAATTAAAAATTCTGTTGCACAATTACAATACATATGTTAAAATAAACGAAGACGGTGGACTTTGTTTGAAAAACGAGAAAAGTTATAAAATTACAAATTTTCCTTTCGAGTATGGTACTAACAAATTTGCGGTAAAACAGGACGACTCCAGAATACCCTTAATTGCTCCTTGCTATTATCGCTATTATCCTTGTTATTATCGCTAACACACACATATATACACACACACGCGCATACGCACGCATATATAGAATCTTCATCTATAATACAGATAACGGAATTATATTTAGCACGGTACATGGCGTGTGCCGAGTGACATTGCCGCAACCGGTAGCTAAATGTGGCTGTTTAATCCGCGATCCGCGTCTAACGCGGATTACAACGCGAGTAAATACGGGCGCGAGACACGTTTTGTGCGAAACTCGTGATAAGAATATAGGATCTACAGAACAGAGATGATGCACGATCCGGAGCTGTCAAACTATGTATCTTCCTTCTGAAACTGACTTACGCACACAGCTTTTCCGCGACAGCTATGACACGAGGAAACCGTGAGACGCTTTTTTTCTTCTCGATGTAATAGGCGCAGTGTCGTTGAGCTGTGTGTATGTGTGTGTATGTGTATTAAATGACATCACGGTACATAGGCGGAACTTTCTCGGCCGCTTCCGTCTTCGCTTTTACCTCACCGTTGCGTCTTGTGATAGCCTCTACGTGACGTCGGACGCACGGATGTAACGTGTCCGCGAAGCACTGCCCGAATTGCAGCAACAGCAGCATCGACGAGAGGTCCTATCCAGCCGTTGTTGTTCCACTACTCTTCGCTGTCGCCGTCGTCCTCGTTGGGAATTGACGCGCTGTTCTCGAGCAAACCTCGCAAACATCCGCTCACGACTCGGCCGTTCGCAACTGTCGCCACTGCGGGCGTGTCATCGTTCGTCGTATGATCCGTATATCATTGGCGTATGCGCGATACACACGGGAGCGTCGCAAATGCTGGGCTAAGGGCTTATCTTCGTTCACAGCTCACACTCACACATGCTCTCTCACTGTACTGACCCGGTCAACCCACGATCGCAGACACTCACCAGCGGGTTTCTCGAACCCAGTGAGCGAACGCACCGAGTAACACGATTGACCAAGGTATACAAAGCTACTCTTACGAAAAATGTCACATTTCAGCGCCATCTGTGGTGGGACTCGACCGAGAGCGAATTAAACCAAATTGAAATGGAGATGCATAAGGTCTGTTCGTTTTCGCTGCACCGCTGCACCGCTAGTACAATAAGTTGAAGTGAGAAAACATATACTTGTCTCGCTTTAACTTATTGCACTAGTTCAACGGTGCAGCGAAAACAAACAGACCTAATTAATACAATAAGTCGAAGAGAGAAAACATCTACTTTTCTCACTTTAACTTATTGCACTAGTGCAGCGGTGCAGCGAAAACGAACAGACCTATTGTTGCATTCAACGAACATAACGTTTGTAGAACAGTCGAGTTATTCATCAATGTATTATAATTAATTTAAATTTAGGCATTTAACAATAAAATTAATAATCAATAATTGCTAACTGCTTTTCTTTGCTTTAACTGATCGCTTTTCTTGCTGAATGCAACCATCGTGCAACCGTTGTGTTTTTTGAGGCTAAGCCCCGTTCTTCAATAGTAATAGGCTTTACAGCCGTTTAAGAAATTGACCAGTGGACAGTTGAATTACAAAAAAAAATCAATTATAATTTTTTACGGCTTAAAGCTTACTATACCTATTGTAGATTGGGACTAATGATATACTATTGAGTCGACATTTAAGGAGAATTTACACCTTGACAAAAAAGCAGAAAGAAGAAATGCAACAGCCGATCAGAACTCGCGCTGTTAGTTAGATAAATAAAATAGTGGATAAAACAGAAATTGGCTGCGTTCAGAAAACACAAAAGTTGTATAATGGTAGAGTAATTCGTCAACATATTGGTCTAAATTTTGAGATCTAACAATAAAGATCTATAATCACTGGCCGCTCACTGATCGCTTGTGCTTTCTGAACACCAGCCATTGTCGACTACCAACGCGAGTTCTGATTGGCTGCTGCTTTTCTGCTTTCCGTTTTTCTGCCTAGGTGTGAATTCTTCCTTATATTCTGCTCCTCTTCTCCCACTCTACCGCATCTGACGAATACTGTGTAAATGCAATACATCGCTGCTTGGTATGTCCCGCTCGTGCTTGCTGGTTAAGCAAATTGAAGCAACCGAAGGTTTCTTGTGGTTTCATACTAATAGCTGTGAACTAAGCGTGATTACTTAAAATCAGATCGGTGACCATCAGGCGCAGCTTCCAACGTGAGATTAATCCACCGTTAAATCGTGACAAACAATCGGTGTCAACGATGGCAGCAGTCTTTGATATCGAGTTGCAAGATGCTGAAAGCTTACTACCTCACAGAGACGAGTCGGAAGACGACGACATTATCGAGATTAGTACGGTAATATACCATATTCATTTATTCAGCTTCAATCATAGTCTTCCTACATAAAGAATATCATTTTATTAACCATGCGTGTTTTCCTTTGCAGGTGGAGTGCGACGTTGATCTAAACGTGAATGAAATGGTAAGGTAAGTAGACCCGCGCATACTTCATGTGTTATACTTGACTGTCTTCATTGACTACGTTTACACGATAACGTTAATCTGGTTTTAATAACAGTTATAGTTATAACTCCTTAAAAATAATGTTCGTTTATATATAAGGATTTACTTTATCATTATTCTTCTTCTGATATAGTAACACCTCAATGAAGTGAGCCATATTTGTAAGATTGTTACCAAATTAAAACAATGAAAAGATATATAATTCACAATGAAATTAATTGAGGTGGATTACAGAACTGAAAATGTAACGATATCCTAACAAAGTGTGACATGAAATAACATGAAATAATATAACATGAAATAACATGAAATAATACAACATGCATAGAAATAAAAATTTCAAATTTTGTGAAAGTTAAAAGACAAAAATAATAAATACTTGTATTATATTTTATAAACAATATATTTAATATATATATATATAATTATTTTAAACTATATAATATATATATACACATATATATATATATATATATATATATATATATATATA